TGGAGAGCAAATGTTTTGAGAATGATGAGGGCAATGAATGTACAAATGTGCTTTACACAATTGATGTGTGTATGGATTGTGATAAGCGTTGTATGCATCCCTAATAAAACTATTTTAAAAAGATAAAATAAATTGTTACATTCACGTAATGAAAAAAAATAAAAGAACTAGGGGTAGCTAGGAGTCCGGGTGGCATGGTGAGGAGCCCACAGGGGCAGATTTACTGTCACTCTGAGTCAGAACCGGCTTCATGGCAGTGAGTGGAGGTGGGGGGGTGGGGGGGGCGGGTAGGGGGATGGTTCTTTTGCGAGAGAACTTGATTGAGAACTAAGCACACCAAATGTGTCTTCATCCTAGGATTCTTCCCAGGGGCTGTGCAGCTCAGAGACTGCCAGCCGATGTAAGTGAAGATGAAGGATGTTATCTTTAAAGACTGATGTGTGGCCACGGAAAGCTAACACTGGGCTTGGACACTTCAGCTAACTTCTTTGTAGATCAATATTCCTACTGGACAAAATACCATGATTTTACATAAATCTGTTTCTAGAGGGAGTCGTGAGTTCTGTCGCATCTCCTTAGCTTCCTCATTCTTCCACCCCATCCAAAACATAAATCTAAGTGGTATTAGGCTTCAGAGTCAGAAAATAAGGGCAATGCTGGATACAGGGAACATTCCTAAGACCTGCTAGGTGGAGTGAAATTTCTTAATATGGTTCTTTTACCCAAGTCTCTTTAACACCCACCAAACACTTGGGGTTTGCTGCTGTGCGAATAAGAACACTAATACTGGGGGTGGGTCAGTTTTCTTTACCACCTCCCTGGCTGTAAGGATGAGCCACCTTTGAAGTGGCAGAGGAGAGAGAAACCCCAAGGAGCTTGGAAGAGCACATTCAAGATCTCTGTCTTAAGAGGCAGAGGATATGACAAGATAATAATTTATAAATTATCAAGGATTCATGAGGGAGGGGGATCAGAGAGGGAAGGGAAAAATGAGGACATGATGCCAGGGCTTAAGTAGAGAGCAAATGTTTTGAGAATGATGAGGGCAATGAATGTACCAATGTGCTTTACACAATTGATGTATGCATGGATTGTGATAACAGTTGTATGAGCCCCTAATAAAACAATTAAAAAAAAAACCCAACATAATGCATATAAGCCTACTACTCAAAAAAATGAGGCAGAGGGCCCCAAGACCAGATGCCTCCGACTCTGGCACTCAGAGGGGTAGTACTGAGACTAAGGGACACCTTCCCATCTTGCTCAAGACTCAAGAACTCTGAGACAGAGCTACCAGCAGGCTGTCTTCCTGGCCCATGAAGGCAGAGGTCAAGGGACCACAGAGCTGAGAGGTTGAGAACTAGAGAGGCTTGGCTGCTGATTAATGAAACATAAGACTGTATGCTTACTGTTTGCTGATTCTAACTCATGATAAGCTACTGACTTCCCTAAGAAATCCCCTTAATCATGAGTATTGTCTGTAGAGTTCTGTGTGGCCACTGCAAAGAATGATCAAACCCAGCATGGATATACAGTGGCATGAAAGGAATGGTTGGTGTCAGAACAGGTGGACAAAATAGACCATGGTTTGTCTGACCCCTGCCATCGTATGGCAATAGGGAAGCCAGAGGAGATCTGATGTGCCCATTTCCAGTGCCTTTTATTGCAAGGCTAAGAAGAAAAGGATTGCTTTTCCAGTTCAAGTTCAAACACGCATGAGTTTACTATTTGAAAAAAACAACCCCAAACAAATATAAGCATGTCTCTGCCACCAGTGGGTTAGTATAGACAAGTTCTTTCAGCAACAGACTTGCCTTAGTCTCATTAGGATCCCTTCTTTAAAAAGGTCCAATCAAACAGTGCCCTCTCAGGAGATCTGCTGGGCCAGGTAGATTCAAGGGGAAGAAGTCCACTCAGCTTACTGTAACCATTTCTGGCATTCCTAAGAGACAGATTGTCTCAAAGGATTAAGAACGATCACAGGAATTTCGTAGGACTTTTGTTTCCCGCTGTCGCAACAAAGCACTGCTCGATCTTTCAGTGTGGTGAGGGCCAATTTCCCCTCCAGCCTTGATCTTGCCCCTTCAGGGTTTTTGTTGGTATTGTTGTTGTTGTTCCTCCCAAACTCAGACAAGGTGTCCCTCGAGGTTGCCGAAACTACTGTGCAGTAAGTGAAGAGCGCAGAGTCTTCAGGGAAAGATTGGTGCTGTGGCTGGGTGCCATCAAGTTGGCTTCACATCCTAGTGATGCCATACACAACAGCATGCGGTGCCCTGCCCAGGCCTGCGCCATCCTCAGAGGTGTGACATTTCAGCTCATTGCTGCGGCCCATCCATCTCCTTCCGAGGGTCTTTCTCGTTTGCTGGCCTTCTCCTGTACCATATTCGAGGACCTTTCCGGGAACTCGCCCCTCCTGATAACACGCCCAAAGTGCCTGAGACAACGTCTGGTCACCCTCGCTTCTGAGGAACATTCAGGCTGTATTTCCAACACAGCTCTGTTATTTTGGGAGTCTATGGTACTTTCAATATTTTTTGCCAACACCTGAATTTAAATGCTTCTATTTGAAGGAAGGATTATAGAGATGGGAATACCACCTACTGAAGTATTTAGACTAGTTAGAGGACATGTCAAGGCATCGTGTTGAGGGTTTTGTTTAAGGAAGGTTTCCGTGGTACTATAGCAGCATTTTGACATAGCTTTGTATTTTAGAGGCCACCACGCAGCCCAGCAGTCTACACAGCCACACCATCCCCCAGAGTGCGCATAACCGCGAGTTCGCCGGTTGATCACCAGATGAAGTGGCCAGATTGTTAGCACTGTCTAACATACCGCACATCACTAAATGCTACACCCACATTCAGGTAGCACACGGGAACTGGGATCTAGACACACACTTCCGTCTGTCATTCATCCTCATTGGGTCCTATGGCCACTGAAGAGAATGCCAAGAGCTATGCCAACTCACTCTCTCCCTATTCCAACCTCGTTTTGCTGAGATACGTGTACAGCATCTACCGGAACGATAATGAAAATGAGCACACACACAAAAATAAGTAATGCTGAAGCAGTAGAACTACCTGGATCCCATGCAAAGCTGGTGGGAGAATAAATTGGCACAGCCTCCTTTTGGCACCATCAATTAAAGCTGAACATTTTGAGCACATATGATCCAGTGATTTCATGCACCGAAATATACCCACCAACGTGTACACTGTATCAATCCATGTAGAAAATGTTCCGTAATCAGTGAACCAGTAGAGTCACCGTGAGTCACAAAGGTTTGGGGTGTGTTTTCAAATATGTACAAAAGCTGTTAGGAATCAGATTAGCAGCTATATCCGGGCACGTGGGGGATGGAGCGAGGAGGGAGGAGGAGGAACTTTTAGGTGGTGGATTACGTTTTGCTTCTTGAGCCAGGTCCTGTTTGTTTTCAATTTCAACATGAACTCAGCATGTGGTACAGTCACGACTCGCTGTTTCTGAGGCATCAATACAAGTAGGAGAATGATTGGTTGTGATGAGACTCTGATATATCTACGTCCTCCAAAGAGAGAAAATGCATCCTAAGTTAACTTACGAACTTACCTGCAGGGAACATTCCAGAATCTTCTGAACCCTCTTAGAGTGGACTGCTTTAAACCTTATCTTTACAACTTCCATTGAGCACAACCCCCAAGAAGTTAAAAAAAGAAAAAAAAAAGACAATACTGCCCCTCCCCCAGCAACAAGATGAGAGGCATCAGACTACTTTGCACTCACATAGATACTTATTATACTAATCAAAATGCTTTTACATCTTCCCTCTCAATTATAGTTCAATAACCCTTGTGAGCAGGATCGGTCATTTCAAAGTTGAGGAAACTAAGGAAAGCAGTAACACATTAAAAAAAAATTAGGCTAAAACCTCGGATTTTCTGAAACCACAGTCAGGCTGGAGGACATCCTAATGGTCCTGTCAGACTCCTTAGTTGGCTGGAAAAGCTGATTCAATTTCTGAATTAATTTTGTTGTTCTGTTCCCTAAAAGCTGTGAGACACAGTTCTTCTTTGTATTTAGAACATAATTTCCACTGTTTGACTTGAAAACATTTTATTTAATTTATACAAATAACTACTAAATACAAAAAGTAGATTAAAACAAAATAGTTATTTTTTTCTGGCAGAGTTTAAATGCATATAATGGATAATTCTGAAGAAGATGCATTTTCCCCACAGCGTTCAGGACTAAAACGCTACTGAAATCTTTGTTTCTAAATCAGTAATATATTCGGTGGTGTCACATGGATAATGGCTAAATACATTCTGCAAATGAACTGAAAAAAAAGTTACAGTCTACGCACATACAAATGTGAAGCACTTAAAATGTGAATTTAACTGATAATAAAAGAAAACGTCCATTTCCGAGTATAGTGTTAAAAACATTTTGGTAATAAAATCATAAGACCACATAAAAATAAGCTTTAACATATGCACGAAGCTGTTTTGTAAAAACGTGCGACGTGCACGAGTAATAAATAATTTGCAAAGTTGTGTATAAACAATTCCTAACGTTCAGCATCATTGTAAACATCAGCACATGTGTAAAATGCAGCAAAGTCTGACATTATGTTTTGTGTTTGCCAAATTGAATTCCTATGATCCAAAGACAGACCAATGGAGGAGGACACAGCCAATGTTGGAGCAGGTTGGGTCTTTAAAAGAAAGAGTAACAGTGCAAGTCAGGAATGCAAAGAATCCCTAGTGCAATAAAGAAGAGAAGCACAGGCAATATTGCTGAGTACAGATTCATCACCTCCTCGGTGTCCCGTGGGGAGTGTCCAGGAGACCTGTGAAGGAGAAGCAAAGCCGCTGTCTTTTCATGCCCAGAGCTCATCCTGTGGGATTCCTCCTCCGTGTTCCTCCAGTTCCCGACCTTCGCAACAGTGTCTGTCCACCAGGAGGCTCTGCAGTGGGAACAGTCTGTGAAATGCCCAGTTCACAGTCATTGAGTGAGGTCCGGGTGGTTTGGGGGTCTCCTCAACAAACACATGGCTGGGTAAAACGACGCCTGCCTGGTCAGGGCAGCCCCCTGGGAGGGAGACAGATGGATTCGGTTCCGACAGCCAGTCAGGCCAGCATTAGGTCCCAGCTGGTCAACAGCAAAAACGTCATCGAATCCTCCTTCCGGAGACCATGAAAAATGTCAACAGTCAGTTTTCAATTTGTCGAGGGAATTATCAATTTTGGTCAAAGTCTTTTTGATGCGCAGGGCTGTGAGTCTTGCGGATGGGTTTTGATACCAGCATTCCTTCATCAGCTTGGCCAGAGACGTTAGCGTCTGCGGAGAGAAAGCACAGGCACCACCGTGACCCGTCCGCTTTCTAGTGAACGTGCAGAAATTCTGTAGGCCTTGCCAAGTTCAGGCAACCGCTGTCTTTTCCAAATAAATAATTAAAGCCTTGACTAATGCTAACGAAACTATGTACTTTTGTGTTTCATACACTCTGACCTGAGGCCTCCTAATGCCACCCACCAACTTTTATCAGGTAAATTACATAGCCGTGCTAGGCCCCTTGATGGTTTCATGGGGGCTACTAGTGATAATCCTAACCCAGAGCTAATGCTGAAAGTTGCAACAGAGTTATTTCTCCATATCTTGGAGCTGCTACTCCTTAAGAAGTGCAACACAGAGCATTCCGTGTTAAGCAGCAGCCAGTGTTGGAAATTTCGGATATGCAGAGCAGAAAGGGGCTTAAAGGGACCTACCTAAAAGCTCTTGGCTCAGACATGAAAACTGCAGTCCACAGCTAGTAGCAATAACAACGAAGTCTCTCAATGGACAACTCTACAGAAGGCTAACCAGTCACAGAAATTCTTGTGGCGATTGTCGTTCATTAGCATTAGAACCATCATCTATCCAATACAGAGCTTTCCAAAGTGAAACCACTTTCTGCGCCTATCGATTAAGTGTGAGACTTTGCCGAAAGCATGATGAGACATTCCAGGTGAAAGTCCATCGCTGAGGACAGTGTTTAAATGAAGAAGCTGGCACTCTTACCGGGTCTGAAAACCATCTGTTAGGTATGTTTGGCCTCTGTTGATCCACACAGACTACCTTCCTCATGTCCTCAAAGCTTGGGTCATTGGGCACAACATCGTAGAAGGGTGGCTTGTAATCTTCCACGATGCCTGCACAGAACGACAAGAATGGTGTTGGTTTAGCAGGAGCACCAAGTCTTCCCAAAGCCTTGTCACTGCGTCTCCCAGGTTACAATGTGGCAGGGTAAAATACTGACCATGGTCCTCACACTTCAAGCCGAAGTCGGTGCAGAGAATTGGGAGAACAACTGTCCATAGAAAACACGTGGATATTTATCATGGAACCACAACTATGAACAACATTATGGAAACTATGTAAGTAGATCTATTTAATTCCTGAGAAGACATAGGAGATTCGTCAATACTGATAAAAAAGGAGCAAGACACAAAAAGAGTAAACATGGACCTAATGATTTCAAAAAACAACAAATAGAAAGCTGTCCTCAAAGAAGTACAAATTTACCACCACCACTACCACCATCAAAGCAATTCTGTCAATTATGAAGGGAATCATTGCTAGAGAATAATCCATCCCACAGGGAAAGGCATAAACAATGTAAAGTAAAAGATTCCTCATTCAATCACTGCTGTTGTCTATCTTCAGGCTCTATGATTTATTCCCAGATTGAAGGCATGAAATAAACATAAAGAAGACTAACTGATGGGAAGTGAGGAAGAATAGGTAAGAGAAATGAACTCGTATTTTATCCCAAAGGAAATTAAAAAAGGTCGGTGGCTAAGTTCAGCTTCTGTGCCTGTATGGTTTGTAATACTAAGCCCTTACCCAGTACAATTAATTCAGTGGCTTACATTTTACACATAGAGAAGCTCAAAATAACATCGTCTGAAATTAGAAAACTGATTCTTCTCCATACAGAGATGAAACCAAGAAAATTCATGATTTTCCTCCTCTCGCCCGGCTCCAACAATAAAGTCAGTAGATAACTTGGTTTACTGCTCTCTTTTCTTCCCCCATGTAACTATCTTCTATTCCCTAATATAGGACAGCTTGTTGGAGGAGAGGAGACTGTGGGGAACATGGTAACTTAGATTTTCTACTTCTTCCCAACCACCTAAAAAGTTTCAATATCTTATTTGTCATAGACAGTATGAAAGCCAATCCATTCATATAAATCCTAGTATCAACACAAAGTGTTTACGTAAAAGATTAGATATAAACAGCATACGATGAACACTGCAGAAACATTTTACAGACTCATACTAAGAGTTTATTTTAAACTGGAAAGTAGTCTGGTTATAGAAAAGAAAATTCTGGACGACACGCTTTCTTAAGTCCTAACACTTGTAGACATTGCTAACTGCATTCGGAATATGTATCCGTCAAGGGAGTCAATTAAAAAACTTCTTCCTGGCCGATCCTACCGAACTTCTATGGGATACCAACTGCTGCTTCCTAAAGAGACATTGGGGCCCTCAACTCAGAGAACCCGCCTTCCCTTCCTGGGTAGAACCTAGGAAGCATTAAAAAAAAAAAAAAATCCTTCCGCAGTCCTAAGAGACACCACAAAAAATACAATTGTATATGGATTTATTCAATCTGTATGCTGAGCAAATAATCAGAGAAGATGGATTATATTAAGAAGAATTGGGCATCATATTGGAGGAAGGCTTATTAGCAAACGACAATGTGCAGCTGACACAACCTTGCTTGCTGAAAGTGAGGCCTTGAAGCACTTGCTGAAGAAGATCCAAGACGGCGGCCTTCGAAACCCTCACAATTACACGGATACACAACCTCCTGAAGACGGAGGACAGACTGAAGTTGTCAAGGAGTTCATCTTGCTGGGATCTGCCATCAATGCTCATGGAAGCAGCAGTCAACAGATCCAGCAACATGCTGCACACGAAAAGCCAGAAGATCCCTGTGAGGACGAGGGTGCATCTGGCACAAATCCTGGTATGTTCAATCACTTCATATGCATGGTGGACACTGGATAAGGAAGACTGAAGCACTGGTGCATTTTAATCATGGTGGTGGCGAAGAACTTTTGACAGTACCACGGACTGCTAAGAGAACAGACAGCTCTGTCTTGGAGGAAGTACAGCCAGAGTGCCTTCTTGAAGCAAGCATCGGAAGCCTTCATCTCACATACTTTGGCCATGCTGTGAGGAGAGACCAGGCCCTAAAGAAAGACTCCGTGCTTGGTAAAGTAGAAGCGCAGTAAAAAAAAGAGGAAGCCCCTCAACAAGATGGATGGACGCAGAGGCTGCAATGGCGGACTCAAACAGAGGAGCACTGGTGGGGATGGCGCGGCGTGGACAGTGTTTCCTTCTGTGTGCACAGGGGCTCCACGAAGCAAAGCGACTTGACGGTACCTGACAATAGCAACCAAGTGGACCTGGAAAAACAGCCTGTGCTTTCTTCAAGGGCCACGCGACTTTATGGGAAAGAGGTAAAGAGATGGCCCCCTCTCTATCACTTCGATATTTCTAAGAAGGAACGCATTTAATTGCCTGCTTTTAAGTGCTGAGCCAAAAAACTACCAGAAGTCAGGCAGAAAGTTTTCTGTGACTGTGAATAATGCAGAGTGGGACACTGCTATACATGTGACAGAGGGTGTGGGGGGAGCATAGCTGGTTTTTTTAAACAGGAGAATTAGTGACACCCAACAATGACCTCGACCATACAAAACTGCAATTTCCTCCTGTGTCCCTTTTTTCCACATTTTAATCTCATAAAAAGCCACCATGTGCCAACAAAAGGAGTCCAGTTTGAAAGGGAGGACCATTTCATCGATTATGCCTGCGACTTAGTCACGCTCTCCGCCTTCAGTCATCGGCCAGTGGGTGGCTACTTCCATCGGACGCTGGCCGTGCTTCCCCACAATAACGTCAACCTGGGATTAAACTCTCCAGGTCACTTGCGGTGCCCCTGGACAAGGAAAACAATGACTGCAACTAGGACACGCCTGCTCTGAAGAGCTCCAACAAGCTGGTGGGGAGCTTCCTTTACCTTTTAATTCTATGTTTCCACAACGTTGGTGAAGCCCCCTGCTCTGTGTGCACCATGTTTGCATTGCTGGGGTGCACAAAAGTGCAAGTCATCATCCTGCTTTTCAACTAACTCACGCTCCAGACGAAGCAAGGGATACGGAAGCCAAGTCTGGTTTCTTAACTGAAATATATCGTTCTTTAATCTTGAAATTTTTCTTTTCATCCCACTACTTGCTACTAACTTAAAAAGAAAAACACAAGTTCTAGGACAGATGATCCCTCAGGACCAGTGGTGAGAGTGGCGATACTGGGAGCGTAGAGGGAGGGTGAGATAGAAAGGGGGAACCGATTACAAGGATCTACATATAATCTCCTCCGTGGGGGACGGACAGCAGAAAAGTGGGTGAAGAGAGATGTCAGACAGTGAAGATAGGATCAAATAATAATTTCTAAATTATCAAGGGTTCATGAGGGAAGGGGGAGTGGGGAGGGAGAGAAAAAAAATGAGGAGCTGATACCAAGGGCTCAAGTAGAAAGCAAATGTTTTGAGAATGATGAAGGCAACAAATGTACAAATGTGCTTGACACAATGGATGGATGTATGGATTGTGATAAGAGTTGTACAAGCCTCCAATAAAATGATTAAAGGGAAAAAAAGAAAGAAATGCTAAGTTCGATGTTTGCATAGGGGCTCTGGTGACAAGTGGTCAAACGGAAGTAGCTGTGGCTGTGCAGGAGAAAGAAGTGACAAAGATCACAGCAGTGCAAGCACTGTGAGGCCGTTCTCTGTCCAAGGGTCAGCTACGGATTAGAATCCACCTACGTGCCATCTATAAAGTGGGTGCTGTGGGAACCTAAGAAAGCTTCCAGAGGACACGGGGGATGGCAGTGAGTTTGGGGGGGTGTTGATCTAGAAGAGTGGGACATTTTCTAGAAAAGACAAAAATGAAAACCGAACCAGTTGCTGTTGTGTTGGCTCTAACTCATGACAGCCCCCCACGTGTCAGAGTTGGGTTGTGCTCCAAGGGTTTTCAATGGCCGGTTGTTTGGGAAATCGATCGCCAGGGCTTTCTTCCAAGTGTCTCTAGGCAGATAGAACTTTTAGTGATTTGAATCGCAGCCAAGCATGTTAGCCACCTGTATCACCCAGGGGTTTTACTAAAACCAAACCAAACTCACTGCCATCGAGTCGATGCTGACTCACAGCGTGCTTCTGGCACAAATGCCATAGGTCATAGGGAGCCTATAGGATAGGTTAGAAGTGCCCTTGTGGGTTTCCAAGACTGTAACTGCCCTTCTTTCTCCCATGGAGTGGCTGGTGGTTTTCAACTGTGGACCCTGCAGATTGCAGCCCAACACGTAACCACTGTGCCACCAGGGCTCCTGGATTTTACTACGGGGGAAGCTAAGACTCAGGAAACAGCGCATCCAGGGAGAGAGAACAGTAAGGAGACAAGATAAGGAGTGATAAAAGATCCTGATATGTTGGCAAGAAGGGAGAGCAGTTTTCTATGGCTGAAACAGTGCAATGGTGGGGGGTGACATGAGAAAGACAAGTAGGAGACAAGGGAGAGTTGAAAGCTGACTATAAAGCGACATATCATCGAGGTAGGAAGTTACCTGCCTGCATGCTTCACTTCTGCCAGAGAGAAAGGACCATATATACTTGTGGGTAAGCCTAGTTTTTCAGTACATTTTTAATGGGTTTTTTTTTCATCATTTTATTAGGGGCTCACACAACTCTTATCACAATCCATACATACATCATTTGTGTAAAGCGCATTTGTACAGTCATTGCCCTCATCATTCTCAAAACATTTCCTCTCCACTTAAATCCCTGGCATTAGGTCCTTATTTTTCCCCTCCCTCCCTGCTCCCCTCTCCCTCATGAGCCCTTGATAGTTTATAAATTGTTATTTTGTCATATCTTGCCCTGTCTGACGTCTCCCTTCACCCACTTTTCTATTGTCCGTCCCCCAGGGAGGAAGTCACATATAGTTCCTCGTAATCGGTTCCCTCTTTCCTACCCACTCTCCCTCTACCCTCCCTGTTTCGCCACTCACACCACTGGTCCTGTAGGGCTCATCGGCCCTGGATTCCCTGTATTTCCAGTTCCTATCTGCACCAGTGTACAT